GAATGAGAAATGTTAGGTGATGAACAATCGTAATTTTCAAGCTCACTGGTTTAGTGCAGGTATATGTAATGTGTGCAAAAAAGCAGAGAGTCTGATGAGAGGAGAAGAGTTCCTTGTCTCGCCTGGGAATTGAGAAATCTCGTAAGGCTTGAATATTCCTCAGAGGGGTCTCTTCTTGTGCCAAGACAGCATAAATTGACATGAATTTTTCATACCATTATCCACCTGTCAGAATACGCGTACCACTCAGATTCTGAAACATGGATATATTTTACTGATTCAGGAAAGTGACTGAAATAGGCGAGAATGGAGATTTTGCTGAATATTTGAAATATTCATTCAGCTGGACCCGGCTCTTTCTTGGGAGTCCTAGATTTCAGCTGTGTCCAGATCAGTCTTTAACAGCTTAAGCTAATTGCCCAACTTCACCTCTACCTAGATGAGGACTCCCTCAGGACTTTGGTGCAGGTCCTGGTCATCTTCCAGATCTAGAACGGCAATGTCCTCTACGTGGAGCTCCCCTTGAACCTGATTTGGAGACTTCAGTGGGTCCAGAATGCAGCAGCCAAACTGGTGGTTGGTGCAAGTAAATTTGACCACATGACTCCAGTTCTGGCTAACCTCCACTGGTTGTCCATGGCGTCCCAGATCAGGTTCAAGGTTTTGACACTCACATACAAAGCCCTCCATACCTTGGGACCATGTTACTTGTTGGAGCGTCTTTCCTTAATGTCATCTGCCCAACCCACAAGATCATCCCAGTCAAGGCTCCTTCAGGTGGCCACCCCAAGAAAGCCCCATAAATCCTCTACAACAGATAGGGCCTTCTTTGTAGTGGCTCCAACTTTATGGAACCAGCTTTGGGAGGAGCTCTGCTTAGCCCCTTCCTTGCAGACTTTTAGGAAGCAATTAAAGACATTGCTTTTCTGGGAGGCTTTCCACACTGACCCTATCTGACCACCTCCCTCCTTCCCCCCCTTTCCGTTCCTCTTCTTCCCTTCCCTCTTTTCCTCCATCCATTCTGGGACTAGTTGGCGTCATCTGGGGTTTTTTAGGGTTATTGTTGTTGGTTTTAATATCTCTATTTTTATTTTTGTTTTCTATTTTATGAGTTGTAACCCACCCAGAGTAGTGCTGTGACACTAATGGGAGTGGGATACACATTTAATAAATAATAAATAATTGATAACAGTACAAGAGGTGATAGCCAAAAATGTATGTTATGCGTTTATGTACTCCTGTCACTCATACAGCCAGCTGGATAGCTCAGTGAGTTACTTATTTGGCAGTGGAGCCCAAAGTTGTGACTTTGATTCTTACACCACCCCATTAGTGCAATGCACTAATCTGGGCAGTTTACAGCATGATAGAATAGAACACCACAAGGTCAATGAAATTATAAATAAAACAGTCAGAGAAATAAAACAAATCAGATCATCTTTAGATCATTTCCATTACAGGAACTTCCACTTTAAAATATGGAAACATTTTAATCCCATTCAAGTGTGTTCTGCCCCAAATAATGGTTAAACTGTGAACGCACTTTCACCCAGAGCCAAACAGATTACAGATGGCTTACTATAGTGAGTGAATTCCTTAAATGCTGAAAGTAGGTTATTATAGTATTGCAGGAGAGGTTTTCCCCACCTCATGTAGTTTGTGAATTGGCTTGTTTTGTGATTTATCTTTGGGATCCAACAACATGCTGTAATTGCTACAAGTTTTCTCAGACACAGAAGTCTACCTAAACCTTGTTCCTAGAACACTAAAAAAGATTTCAGCTCTCATGATGGCTTATGTATAGCATATCATTTCTCCCACAGAGTGCAGTTTTCTTGAAAAGCAAACACATGGACACACATACATACATTCTGGGCTCCATTGCTTGAAAGCATATGATTCAACAGTCCTGCAAAATACCGGTATTGACAGATTGTTTCTTTGAGAAATGAAATCGTACTGCACAGATAAAATGTCTCCCAGGAGCATTTCAGCAGCCAGTAAGATCCTCCTTTTGACAATAGCCAGCCCAAAAGAAGACAACAGCAGACATCAGGGGCTATAATTTTATGAGAAGCCTCAGTTTGCATTTAGAATGGGAGACATTATAAACATCTTGTTTTCACTGATCCTGCAGTATAAAGACAGACAGCACCATGTCATTTCTGCTGTCTGTTCTTACTCATGCTGTTTATGTTCTTCTCTAAAGAGTTTGTTTCATACACATCCCTGTGAGCAATTTTGCAAGCAAATGTCTCAACCTCCATGTGTGGTGTCTGCCGTCTTACTGTCCATGCACCACATGTGTGCCCTCTCAGGTATATCCAGTGTATTGATGAGATACTCATTGTTTTAAAGAAACTTGTCAAGGATGTATAATTGGATAAATAAACTCTCTTAGGATGGGCAGGTGTGCCAGTGCAGCTGTTACAAGGGCGCTGTCTGGTTGCTAAAAGGAAGGCTTGCTACTAGAATTCCTTCTCCAGATCTTCATCAGGGCTCCTCTTTGTTTACTTTTGGACAGCATTTCAGGATAGGTTTCCTGACTTATTTCTTCTGTGCTGGTATTATGCTTGTCTTAGTTTTCCATTTATATTTTCTTTTTTATGGTATGTACTGTTGGAAGGTACTATGTGAGGACAATATTGTAAATGATTGGGAATGGGTTGAGTAGCAATAACAGAAGACTCTTGAAGACCACATAAAGCAAAAAGGCATATGCAGCCCATGGACTGTGTGTTGCTCATCCTATTTTAGTCAAATTTTGGTGAAGTCCATCATGCAACTGTACAAATTCCTTAGTATAAGTCAACAATTTTCCATATTTGCCAGATGTACAAATAACTGTCTCAGCCAACAGTTCTATCTTCATGATCCATCTGATCCACTGCAGGATTCCACGTTTGGGAAATTCAGTGTACAAATGCATGTTTTTAACTTCAAAATAAAATATTTAAATAGTGTTTCTATAGTTGTACCTGGAGTGGTGTACAAAAATATATTTACACTAAATTAGGTAACCATAGGGACGTGGTGGCACTGTGGGTTAAACCACAGAAACCTTTGTGTGCTGCAGGGTCAGAAGACCAGCAGTCATAAGATCGAATCCATGTGACGGAATGAGCCCCCGTCACTTGACCAGCTCTTGCCAACCTAGCAGTTCAAAAGCATGTAAATGCAAGTAGATGAATAGATGTCTAGTCGCGCTGGACACATGACCACAGAAACTATCTTAGGACAAACACTGGCTCTATGGCTTGGAAACGGGGATGAGCACCATGCCCTAGAGTTGGACATGGCTGGGCTAAATGTCAAGGGGAACCTTTACCTGTTAGGTAACCACACCTTTCCTATTATGAAGGAAATGATAGAGTAGGCCCATTTAATGAGTAGGGATCTGACTCAGTGGGCCTACTGCAGTTGAGAGTTACTATTGGATTTCAGCAACTATCTACAGGATATTATTGCCATTATTACCACTATCAAAAGCAGGAATGGTTAAATGATGAATGTTTTAATTACTGCCTTTAACACCTGGGACATTGTGTTTTTAAAGAAAGTTTACTTACAATATTAAAAAAATTATTGATCAGGTTTAAAGGATGAGGGGTCCTCATAGCAACAATAAATGCAGTAAATAAATAAATCACATGGGGTAACCTGCAGCTACTAAGCTGCACATGAAATGTGGGTACCCAGATAGTGTTGCCATCATAATCAAAAGAATCATGGCCTCATAGATGTCTCATACACACCATTCACAGGCAAGAACATTTCCTACCATGTGGAGAGATTTTCATGAGCATGGAGAGGGACTAGAGAGTGGAGAAAGAGAAGAAGAGGGAGTGTATGTGACAGAGAGGAAGGGAGACATGGTCTGTGTGTCTAGGTCTGTGGGGCAGGGAAAGATGTAGTTCATTATAAGGGGAAGATAGATGTCCATGTCTGTGTGGGGTGGGAAATGTGTGTGGAGTGAGGAACCCCTTCCGTCTAGGAATATGTATGAGGGGAAAATATGTGTCTATTGCTGCTCCCTCCACAATCCCACCCACTGTCAGCTCCACTCTCCAGTGCAGCCCCAAAAAGGATTTCACAGCCCTTCAGTGTAGCCCTTCACTCTTAATTGCCCACCTCTTCTAAAGCTATGCTTAGGTGCCAAGGACATACAGCACTTCGATCCAAAGCTGCTTCCATGCTCCAAGTAGGCACTCTAATTGCAACATAAATTATTAAAATATTCACACTACAAGGAGCAATTGTCCTCTATGTGTTGCTACCTAAAGCAGTCCTTTTTTGCCACCAGGGACTGGTTTAGTTGAAGACATTTTCCCAAGGACCGGGGGGGGGGGATACTTGTTATGCAGTAGATTGTTGGAGGATAGCTTTGAATCAAGCTCTTAAAGAAAATTGTGAGTAGGAGCAGAAGGTGAGCTGTAATTGAAGCTCCACCTCCTGTTAGATCAGCAGCGGCTTAGAACCTAATAGGAGCACAGACAATTTTATATAACATTACTTTCAGCATTTAAAATATGTTGTAAAATACAGTACAGTTTCGTATGCTAGACCGGTCCATGGACTGGGGGTTAGGGAACCCCTGATCTAAAGGACTCCCTAATCCTTGTGAGCACCTACCAGTCTAGTCCAAAGCTATTGGTTCTCTTTTTCATATTATAGTATGGTGTCAATATTTGTAAATAAGTATACAAGTAATACATTTAACAATACAAATAAAGAAATTAAAGGTGAAAAGAATTAAATACGTGATGCTTAGGAGAGGTTCAATCACACTCAAAGAAAATCAATTGACAGCAAATGTTCCCCTAAACAAGAAAGGAAGGTTGTTGCATAACCGTAAGTGAATCTAAATGCTTCAGCGAATCCAAGAGAATGTTGATAAAGGTTCCCCTCCTCTTGCTAAGCCATCCTTCAAAGACTCAAATCATGATGCTTATCTATATAAACGTTAATTATCATAACTATCATCATTTTGTGAGCCTTACCTGCTGGGCAGTTGCATCGCTGATGGATATCTCTAGATTCCCGATGTCTTGGCAAGTTGAGGTGTAACCTCTAGAAAATGAATGAGAGGGAGGGGGAAATCTACATTAGTAATAGGGAAATCCAGAGATAGAAAGAAATTTGTTATTGTTATTGTCTCCTTTACCCAATAAGGAAAGCCTTAATTGCGATAGTTTGCCTTCAGTTATTGTGGGAAAGTAACTGTTTAGTTATCTTGATAGTCATGGATGTAGTGTCCTCGTTATAAATGGGAACAGATGAATATGAGATGGTTCAAGTGCTGGCTTGTGCTTCTTACTTGTACTCTGTTGTGGGTTTTGAGGCAACACTAAGATAGACTGGAAAGGTGAATGCTTTGTACAACAGACCAGTAGTTGGTAGCATTTGAAGGAAATAAAAATGTGACTAAAATGTAAGTTTTTAGGGTTTCTTTTAAAGAAGAAGAGAGTTATTAAAAATGTTCTATACTAGCAACTAATAATAGCTTTGGAACCATGACCATGACTAATTATTTTCCATAAGTTAACTTTCCATGTTCTGGTGAAGCCTATGACTAATGAATATTAGAAAATGGCTTTTGAAAAGAATTCCGCCTGAAATATGTACTCTGAGACAAAGGAAAACAACTTGCTTTCAATATTAATCTCAATATTTGTTTGACTGAAAGGAAAGCAGAGCATATCTGACAGAATTTCTAAACATGACCTCTTATGTATCTGCTATTACTGGATAAAAGGGGGATTTCCCATTAGGAGATCTAGAGCAGCAGATAAAATTATGGAGGCTTTGGAACAAATCCGCCCAGCTAGCATGGGGATCCCCAAAAGAAACTCCTTCGTGTCCAGACAGCACAATCCCAAGTAGCTTCTAATGTTGAGAGGTGCTCTCCCAATCACTCTCTTTCTTTGGATGCTATGGGGTTTTAGATCTTTGACCTCATCCCACTACCTGGCTTGCTCCCTGATCTCCAGGCATGAAAAGTAGGAGTAAGAAAACTCAAAGTATGATGGGAGGGCACCAAATCATGTGATGAATAGCAAAAGATCCTATAAGCTCAATGGATAATACTGCTTTCCTAGAGCACTGCTTCATATGTGTCATCCTAACATGGGGTGAGACTCTATAGCAAGCAGTTGACCTGTCTGCCTGTTCAATCTGTTATCCAGACTCTAACTGCTGACAAGGAACTTCAGAGCTCCTGCATTCTTAATGATTCTGGACATGGACTAAAATGTCCTTCAAATAAATGATACCTTCAAATTTGGGACAGTCTTCTGAGAACCCTTCAACATTTCCTTGCTTAAATAGGATGCATGGTCACCCTACTTTTTTAGCAACCGACATCTCCAACCCTCAATGATAAATCTGCGTACTTTTCTTCTGGAAATCCTGTTCTATGCTGCTTTTTAAGACTTCCACTCCAGTCCTATGGATCTCACATTCACCACTGTCAACAAAAAGTGACTTTAAAAACCAAACAAAACCCAATTAATTCACATGAATCCTCTCTCCAGTTCTCAGATTCCTAACAGTGATTTAGCACAACCCTCATGTAATGAATGGGCTCCCAAACTTAATTTCTATGGATATTTATATTTTTACCTTTGTTGTTAAAATTTTCAGAGTCACAATATTCAAAATGCTCTATTATGTGTGCATTACCCATCCTTAAAACAAACTTGTAAGTTTAAGTTGTCTTTTAGTCTACTTAACCAATTTAGCTTCCCAATGTGTTGTTTAAGTCAAAAGTTTTCAGGACAAGGGGAGAGGTATTATTTTGCTACAGAAGAACTGGAATTAAAGATTTCAATGCATTCAGATCATTTGTCGTAAGCAATGGTATGTTCTGAGCACCCTTTTTTCACTTAGTATGGAGCCTAAGCTTCAAATCCATCTGCCAAGAATCATAGTCACCTTCTCTTGTCCACATTCCTGATAAGACGAGCCAAGATGTTCAGAAATAGGAAACTATCTTTAGCCTTCCCAATCTATTTCTAAGACTCACCCAGTCTATGTGACCTTAATTTCTGAAGCATGAAGTCCAGCAACTTCCTTCCTCAACAGGGGACAACACACACACACACACACACACACACACACACACACACACACACACAACTTCAGATTTAAAGAACTCATAAAGGAGATCATTCATGAAAGATTCTGAAGTACAGTTGTATGTATTATTATTTGCACTCAGAAGTGATTTCTTTTCAATACACATGTCTAGGACTTGCAGTCTGAAGCACACTTACAGCAGCACTCAGATCTTTCTGAAATAGTGGGATTTATGAGTGACAATCACATTGAGTTAAAAGGATTGAAAGGTTTCATTTTTTTTAATTTAAAGGCAATTCAAGATTTTAATGTATACTGTATATCAAAAGTTTCACTTGCAATGTTAAATATATCATTGGAGTCTTTTTCTGTTGTCCTTCACAATCCAAATGTACAATCTAGTAGGTTATCAGGGACTATCCACAGTTGTGTGAGTTGATGGCTGATAACTGGAACTGGACTGAAGCCTAAACTGCAGGCTGGTACTGCTCAGCACATTAGGCAAGAGGACAGTTTGGCTTCTACTAGGGAGTCGTACCTCCTGCCCATATTTCTGTTCCGTTCTATGCCTTGAGGTTCTATTAAATGAGCAAGCCATTCAGGGTGAGTTTGCTAGGCCAGAAGAGCAGCACCTGGACGCCTCACTCCCAAACTGGGGAGCTCTCCCCCTGAAGTCACAAGCTGTTCATGCTATTGTGGATCTCAGCCTCAATCCATAAAAAAAACCTGGTTGAAATCCTGGTGTTGCTTGTAAATACAATGTCATCACATGTGTATGTACTTTATTGTCAGATCCAAATACACCTCTTCTAGGAATGTTCCAGTCTCCATCCTTGACTGAATGTTTACCTCAAGACTATCAGCAATGACAGATTCTAATTCTGTCTTGGATCTTCTTGTCCTTGTGTATAACATTTCAGCCAGGGCCATAAATAGGATGTGTATCCTTCAGTTTGATATGTAACCTGGTCTTTAAAAACCTAATTGCCTCCTTTTATATTCCCAAGTCTTAATTTTAACATCTTACAGCAGGCATTTGCCATCTCACAAAGACTGCTCCATTATGAACCAATTGGGTACTGTCTGTCACTCTTTCTGGAAAGTCCAGGGATGAGGCCATGTGGCATGATTTGAATGGTCTGAAGGTCTTTGTGCCAACTCATCGCTTAACAAGTGACAGCCAATGCTCTAAGTTTTGTGTTTGGAGTATTGCTTGTAGTATTGGACTATGGCAAGTCAGTCAAAATGAAGAGAACAGAAAACATATCAAAATGTGTCATTGTTTTCAGTTTATAGATGTGACCAATTAGTGCTGGTAATCTTCCATAAGGAATACCAGAGTTCTCAGAAATATAACATATAATGGTTCTTATCAAAACAGTACATTTGTCCTTTTCCATTCTGTCCCAGAAAACAATAGAAATATATAGTTTCTGATCTAACCTGATCAGAAGACAATTGCAGAATAATTAATTGCTGCATAAGGACTCATAACTGTCTCAAGATGGTTACAGTGTGATCATAAATCTGTCTATTCAGAACTATACTGTATTCCATTGAGTTACTACCATGCAAACCATCAAAGTTAGATCTACACCAGACATTAATCTGCATGTGATTTTATCTATATTGGTTTTGCGGTAGCAATGCCACACACACACTGCAGACTAACTGTGCATTCTCCCAAGAAGACAGTGCCCATAACAAGTCGCTAGATCTACAACGAGGCTACATTGATTTCAGGTCATGATGGTGTTGCTTGCACAAGCACTTAAAAAGTGACATGGCACCTTGATAATGTCCCCATCCATTCCAGCTTATTGGCACCCATAGGAGGAATTTTGTTTTGTTTTAAAACTGCTCTGCATCTGTATATTTGCACATCAGTGGATAGGAAAGACAAAATACTCAACAAACTTCTGAATGGGATTAGTTTGGTTTTCTTTCACACTGCCTAGCACATGCACTTTCTCAATGGCATGTCTAAGGCCAAAGCTTTCAGGGCAAAAAGAAGGGACTGCTTTGTTGCACAAGCACTGCCTGGGACGACGAATTAAAATTTCTGTGCATTAAGTTCATTTAACATGGACAACAGAATTTTTTGAGCACACGTTTTCTCAACTGAATAAGTTTAATTTCAAATCCATATGCCAAATATCATATTTGTGTGTTATGTGCTGTCAAGTCAGAACCTACTTATAGCGACCTTAATAGGGCTTACAAGGTAAGTGATACATTTAAGGAATGGTTCTATCTGTGTCAACCCCATATTCCGTAAATTCCCAAGGCTGAGCAGAGATTAAAAACCTGGTTTCCTGAACCCATACCCATCACTCTGTCTACTACATCACACCATCATATTAACTTTCTCCTGTCCACATAATTGATATGTTCAGGCTCAATTCAAAACACTGGTTATGATTTATAAAACCCTACATTATCAACTGAAGGACTGTATATCCCCATATGAGCTTCCATGAGCTTTAAGATCTTCAGGGGAAGTCCTTCCCCTTTCCCCAGCACATCTGGTGAAGATGCAAGAGAAGGCCTTTTTGATGGTTGGTCCATGGAACTTCATTCCACAAGAAGCTAGAATACAAGAACCCAAGTCTTCAACTAAGATGGCTATCTTTTCTATTTTGTATGACAATAAACTCATCTTAGTGATATGGAGCAGATCTCCATATCAGCGTTAGGCTTTTTTCCTGGCTCAGAACAATATTCTATAATCCCTCTGCTATGCTTTATACCTGAACAACACTAGGAAATAACAAATGGATTTTGGGATACCTGGTACAAGCCCAAGTCGCCTTTATCCAAATATTGCACAGATGTTTTGTGATAACTGTTGACTTTCAGATATTTTCATCTTTCTCCCTCACCTTGTGATACAGTGGGACGTTACAAGCAATTCTGATGTACTGTGAGAAAAAGTTGCCCTTTCTCTTTGAAAGCTTTCCCTAGTTCCTAAATACCAGAGACTTGGTTTATTT